TGCTAAGCTTAGGATTGGGTCTTGTCCATCACATCATTCTCCTAATGATGTGATCCCGTTATCAACGACATCCAATGTCCATAGCCAGGAAACCATGACTATCTGTTGATCACAACGAGCTAGTCAACTAGAGGCTCACTAGGGACATATTGTGGTCTATGTATTCACACGTGTATTACGATTTCCGGATAATACAGTTATAGCATGAATAAAAGACAATTATCATGAACAAGGAAATATAATAATAATACTTTTATTATTGCCTCTAGGGCATATTTCCAACAGACCTAACTTATTTCTTTCTAGCCTCTTCGAATCTCGAGGACGAGATTCATTTTAAGGGTGGTACGTTTGTAACATCCCAAAATTCTAAAATTTGGAATGTTATAATAAATAGATAGATTTGATAGATTGTTTGATTATGGCGTGATTGCTTGAGTGAAATTGTGTGTAATTCGAAACTTTTTGAAAGTTAAATGAGAGGGAATAAAAGGACTTTCCCAAACTTTCATTTTGCATTTTATGATCTCCATGAATTCAAATACTTTTCATCACAAAATCCTGGAGAGAAGATAACATGACTTCTTCCATTTAAATGAAAATGGTATTTGAAAATATTTGAATTTCATTGGGAAATATTTCAAACCGAGAAACTTTATGCAACTCAATGATTTTCATGAGAGAAGATAAAATGACTTCTTCAAAACATATGAAATATGAGTTGGAAGTTTTAATAGAATTAAATTCAAAGTCCTTTTGAAATTATTTTCAATTTGGAGTTATTTGGGTTTTATCTAAATTATTTTTCTCCAAAAATAAAATATATGGAAAATAGGGTAAAATGATTCCCTACATCAGAAAATTGGATAGAAATAAATTTGAAATTATTTTGTTTTTTAAATGATTTTTATTAGATTTTATTAGAGCGGTAGTAGTGTTTGATTTATTTGAATTTTTGTGTATTTTATTTGATATTAGAAAAATGTTCATGTTGTAAAAAAATCTTTTTATGAAAATTGTGATATATAATATGCCTATATAAAATTTTATTTTATTTTCTTTATTCGGTTTTCCTTCTGTTTCTATTTTAAAAAAACTGTACGTGTGACCCATATTTACTTATCGCCTACACGCGTAGCATAGTGGCAGCAGGCACCTCCTCTTTTTCCTACATGGGCCAGGCCCAGCCAGCTATTTCATTTTTTTTCTTAGGCTGAATTTTGTTTAAAAAAAACTACAGGGCGCGGCCGGCCGAGTCCTTTAGGCCCGTGCGAGCCGTTTAGCCTTTTTTTTCTCTGTTTCGTTTATTTTCGTCTATGTTTAGTCCCACATTACCTAGTCTTTGACCTTTAAACCTCTTTTTCATCTATAAATATAGACCCATAGAGCCTCCAAAAATCATCCGATTCATTAAAAAAATATTTTTTCTCTCCGGTGGGACTTCTGAAAATTGTCTCTTCTCTTCGAAGTCGTCTTTTCTCTATTTTATAAAGGTATCTTTCTTCATTTTATTTTTATACTTCTGTAGTTTATTATTTTCTAGACTAGTACAGTAGAATAATTAAATTAGTAATTAGTCTCTGTATTTATACATTAAACCTAGAATTCTTTTAGTCATACCTATTTTTCCTCCATAAAACAGTTTGACCCTGATTTTTCAAATAGCCATAACTTTTTTTACTCGTTTATCCAAATTAGATGAAACCAGCACTGATAGCTTCGTCTTGTTTTCACCTATCCAGTGAATCTGTCACATCAACTTTTTGAAATTTTCAAATTTCGAAATTTGTTCAGAATCATATTCAAACTTATTTTGATCATAACTTGAGTTTCGTAACTTTGATTTAGTTGATTCTTTTTGCAGATCGAAGCTCTTGACCTAAACTTTCTGATAAGGCCAAATTCATTTAATTTTGGTACTGTTAGAAATTATTTTATTTTGGTACTGTTAGAAATTATTTTCTGTTTGCAAGAGTTATTCGCCTGTTTTTGAAGTTTTCCGAGATCTTTTCTTCGATTCTTTTGCATGAGTGCTTATGTATGCAATTGCTTGCTTACGATAGATTGACCAGAGTGTGACGAGTAGTACTATCAGGAGTTATGAGTGCAAATCATCTTCATCAACAGTACGAGGCAAGTAACACTTTGATCATACCCCTTTATCACCCAGTTTTTATGCATTAATTCCAATCCTCAAACATTGCATGATTAGGTTGTGATATAACATGTGGGTTTGGAAAGTAGTTGATGAGGTAGAACATATCACCCTGTTATTATCAAACCCTTGGGAGTTACTTCTGCGTATTGCTTATATTGTTATGCTATGCTCATAGTCGTGGTTTGGGTGAGTGAATCCATGACAGATGAGAGATTGTTAATTAATGGTTCAACATAAGGTGGGAACTTCAATACACATCTAGGTGGATTGCTTGTCAGACACCTGGAGAATCCAGTGTTGTCCTAGGATATCCCGGAGGATCCGTGTGATCATCCTAAGGTCCGCCACCCAGGCTCAAAGGGAACTGAGATATTTCATGCTAGAACTTTCGTGTGCAGCCACAAGCTATTATGGGCTCTAGCATAGTGGAGTAAGTTGCATGACCTCTTCCAGTGGTAGGCTAGCAGATGTAGGGGATGTAGGTTGGTATGGTCTACCCGGGTTAGAGTTAATACTTCTGAAAGACTGTGTCTCGGTCATCCGTTTCTCAAACACCATGTAGTGCGAGAAATCCAACGGAGGAGATCGAGTCTTGTGGGGAAAAGTGCGCAAACCTTTGCAGAGTGTACACACTAATCATGATTAGCCGTGTCCCTGGTTATGGACATCTTGAGTATCTGGTTATTAGATTATCATATTGATCTCATCACATTACTTAATTAATTTGTTGGGTTGATGATTATTAATTTGGGATTGAGTTGGAGGAACCTTCTCAATATTGTTCAACAAACTTTGTAGTTAAATAAAATATATTCCTTTGCTGTAGGAAAAAAATGGCTTTTCGCAAAAACATCATAACCATAGAGCTTTACCACCAGCCAAATATGCATGTAGTGATAGACATTATTCATCTTTATCCTATGATGTGAAATTGCCAGTACATTCAATGTACTGACCCTTTGTGGCTGCAACGTCTCATGTTGCACGATTCTTACGACGAGTAAGTGATACGTTAGGGTTACGATTTCTACACTCAACTTTGCCGTTGATGTTGATGGGAATCCACAACCTTGTCGTTACTTCCGCTATTTTGGATTGAGGTAATAGTATTTATGTTGCTTTATACATATGATTTACCTTTGTTATAAATCTTCGAGTACTGTGTGTGTCACCATACCGATCCAGGGATGACACTTAAGCACAGAGACTTGACCGTCTGAGGTCGGGTTGCTACACGAACACCAGAGACCGCTGAAGCACGTTGATATCATTGTGTGAACCTGCCATACTGAAAAAGGAGTGGCAAATCCAGAGATCTTGTGATGCCACAGCTTCAGGTATGACCATGCAAGTTTTAACATGCCCCCATTATATTGCCCCTGCCAAGCAAATTATAATTTTTCCACTTCCAGTTCTTACAATCTATTCTACCAAGTATTCCTGGAAAAACCTACTGATTTATTGATCGCCAAAAATCGGGATGTATCCACAACATTTGGTTCTTTCAAGTACTACGGGCCAAACACTGCAACCACAACTTGGCAAAACTGGTACAATGATGCAAAGCATGTAAACTCACTCATGCGAACATACTCAAGATCATCGAAAATTCCGTATGCAAGCATCCGAATAACTGCAGTGCATTTCTGATAAGAGGAGAAGCCAAGCTTTCCAAGGGCATCATTCTTGCATATAAAGTAATTATCATATGCCACCACTCCCTCCTGAATACGGTTGACACATGTCTCACCATCTGGAAACGGCGCCGAAAAAGTTTGCTCGCTAGGGCAGGTACGGGCCAGGCGCCTGCTTGTTAAGCCACCCAAATGGACTAAAACGGAAAAAAAATGTGTCCATTTGGGTCGGCCCGTTAGACTTGTCATAACACCCTTCCAGTTCACTCTACAGTGCACCTCGGGTTGCTCACCCGAACAATGTATGTCGGTCTGGTTCAAGAATCACTTTACTGTGCCCCTTATATTTGAGTACCTCTATTGTTTTGGCAATGTTGTGGCTAGGTTTTAGTCGACTAAGACTTAACTAAGTTTTAGTCAAGTGTTCAAACTTGTAATAAAGAAAAAACTGTAAAGAAAAATTATGCGAATCGCAATGTAAAATCTCATGGATATAATATCAACTGAGACATAACCAAGTCTCAGTAGACTGAGATTTAGCAAAACTTGTTTGTCAATCTATTCTTTCATACATGTCTCTGTCACTTTGTGCAGAGAAAAACTACTCCAAAGCACAAAGCAAAGAACAACAAATATGAAGATTCACGACGAACACTTATTCATATTTGTTCTAACAAATGAATGAAGTCAATCTCCCATTTCCACAAGTCTATCGAAATCCATGTTGTGTACAGAAACTAAAACATGTTGCTAAATACAATCTTTTGTGTGCTCTTTCACATGAAGAATTACCTGGAGATGGGCTTGGTGATGTCTGTGTCAAAGCTGAAGTTATCCCGAAGTTCCGCAAGAAGGTGGAGATTTGGGTACCCAAATAGTGGGTTGTCTCGTCAGTAGCCTAGTGGCAAAGGTGCACAGTGGTGTAGCCTGCGCCCAGAGTTTGAATCCCGTCGGGAGCGAATTTCTGATGCCTCACCTCAATGGGCTTCATCTATAAAAATATGTCATGAGTGCTAGCGCTCATGGATCTCTTTTTTTTTCTTTGCTCGTAGCAGAAGAAGGCCGGGTGGTGGAATATGTCCGTTTAGTCCATCTTTTCGTCTACTGCTACAAGATATTCATGGACGATTTCTTTGGCTGCTTTGATGTATCATCAGCCGTTCCTATCCAATTTGGTTAAGTAATTGACCAATTGTTTCAGCGAGTCGTCAGATCTTCTCCATGAGCGGGGTCAGCTCTAGTTCCTCTTCCTCAGTCTCAACAAATTCAGTATGTTCATCTCCATGGAGGACAGAAAACTCGATGGCACCTGACGCCCCTGGTTCCACATCCCCCGGGGAACCTCCGTCCGCAAGCAGCATCTCCGCGGGAAGGATGGTCGAGTTCTGGTCGCTCCGAGGCACCAGGAACAGGAACGCCAGCGGGAGCAGCCGCATGGCGTTCCTCGCCAGCACGGCCACCCAGAGGTTCCCGAACTCGGTCCGCGTCACGCCCAGCGCGTGCAGCAGGAGGCCGCCCCACCAGGCGGACATGAGCAGGCCGAGGTTCTGGATGGACATGAGCAGGGCGAAGAAGGTGCCCTCGATCCCCACGGGGCAGAGCTTGGAGCAGAGCACGAGGAGCGGCAGCCATTTCAGCTGGCCGATCAGCTGGGACACGCTGTTGTCCATCACGGCGAAGAGGTAGTCCGGCATGCCGAGCCTCAGGTTCAGCCTGGTGACCAGCACCAGGTCGATCATCCCGGACAGGCAGGCCAGCAGCTGGCCCCATAGCAGCAGGCCGCGGAACGGGTAGTCCTTGAGCATGTTCTGGTAGAGCAGGACGCCGAGCAGCGACCCGACTGAGCCTATCGAGTAGATGAGACCAATGAATCCCTGCAGATTATGGAAGCCCACATCAGTTCTTGTCGATCTTTGCCATGCATCTGAAGAACTTTTGTGGCAGAAACTACCTCGGAAAATGCGAGTCCGGTACTCGAATCTGTGTACCAGTAGAACAGCCCTCCTTGGATGTCCGGGCTTAGCACGAACATTAAGAACATGTAAACACACGGCCTCCAGACCTGCGGGCACTTCAATGTTTCCCACATTGATTCAACTGCTTCGTAGAACTTCCTGTGAACCTGAATATATTGCAGTTAACAACCTTGAAAGTGTCATGTTTGTAACTGTATTTAATTGGCAGCTTCTGAAGCCTGAGCTCACCTGGTTGTACTCGAAATCCTTGGCCCGGTCCTCCTTGACGAGAATCCCGGCCGAAAATACGAGCACGGAGGGGATGCTCAGCAAGCCAAGAGCCCCCTGAAAAGATCAAATGAACATGGCAAGAACATTGGAATCTACCAATACCATCCATCTTCTCTCAGGAAATGTTCAGTTCAGACTTCAGACCTGGGAACCTATTGCATGGACGACGAGACCGCTGATGGAGTACCCCACCAATGCGCCGGCGGAGGAGCAATACCCGCACAGGCTCTGCATGTCGGCGGCGAGCGGAGGGTGGCTTATGCTGTTCTGCGCGACCATGGCGTCCACCACCACGTCGGCTATGGCGGCGCCCGCGGCCTGCGTCGTGAACGCCACCAATGCCGGTGCGATCGCCGGCGTGCGGCGCAGAGCAAGCGTGAGCATGGATGACACGCCCATGACGCCTTTACATAGTTAGTTACAATACATGGATCAAGACAGTTTAAGAAGGCGAGCAGATTCAGAACGACGTTGACCATAGCAAGCAAAGCATCGGCTCACCTGCGAGGAGGAGGTACGGGCGGCGGCGGTAGCCGGCGACGGGGACGACGTCGGTGAAGAGGCCCCAGAGGGGCTTGACGACCCAGGGAACGTTGACAACGCCCTGGTAGAACTGCGAGGCGGCCGGCTGCACGCGCTGCACGTCCTTCCAGTAGTACCCCGCGGCGACGCTGCCGAATGAGGAGCCGACGCCCTGGCAGGCGCCGTAGACGGCGACGACGGCGAGCACGAAGCTCCAATGCAGCTCGCGGGACAGGCGGCCGAGCCAGCCGCAGGGGAGGGTGCCACTGGGAGCGATGCAGCCGCCATTGCCGCCTCCGTGTCCGGGATCTGGGGCGGCCTTGAGATTCCCATCTCCGTGGGGTGTTTCTTGGAGCCGCTCCATCTGAACAGAGCGATTCCTTTCCTGCGTGGTTTCTTGGAATCTATGGAGAAAACACCATGATTTGCAACGGGAGAATGAAGGTCCCGGCCGTTGCTTGCTCAGAGAGGATGCTCAGGTACAATGCACGGATCAGGATGGCGCTTCTTGATCTGTGCTCAGTATTTGACTTTATTTGTCTTGATTTAAAAGCTTTAGGTGGTGGAGCATAGAATATGCACCGGCCGGTTCAGGCTCCGACGTCGTCACGTGTACTACTGTTTTTTAGAGAAAGATCACGTCTACTGTTACAGTTGTCTTCATCACCCACAGAGCATAAATTTTGTGTTCCACCCGTCGCATGCGATTTAATTAGGAAAGAATATGATATACAATGCCAAAGAAAGGACTACACAAACATAGTCGAACAGAAACAACATACTATCAATTTCTACACCACCATGAATAACCAAAACAAGTAGGATGTAGGGTATTACTATCCGGAGGCCCGTACCTGGGTAAACCCCTCGTGTGATCTCCGATCTAAGACTTCCAGCTGCGCTTGGACCCCCACTGGGAGATCTGACGGTATTTTGCACCGTCACCGATGGTGGAGGGAGTACAATTTGAGGAGGCGTCTTATGGGACAGCGGCGGCGCGGGTTCCCTGGGAGGCGGCGCGTCGGGGGCAAGGGGAGAGGGGGTTGGGGGCGAGACGAGATGCGGTGGACGGTGGGTTGCCTGGGCGGCGGGAGCGAGATGAGCAGGAATCAAGGGAGTCCGAGGCGAGCTGATTTGGGAAATGACAGCTTGTTGGATGGGATTTGGTTTACATACGGTTTCAATCATCTGGAATTGTGGAGTGATTTCCGACACCCAAATCTGGGAGAGCCAAACATGTTGGTGTCGTAATTGGCAAATGAATTCAGCGAGTTCTGACCCCAAATGATGGATGCCAAACGATATGTAAATGGCATTAGAGTGCAAGACTACATTCAACATTTTAACCTAACAAAAAGATTGCATGAACCTGATGTTTATTGGCCAACCTTATTCATGCATAATAGGCTTCATCAATCAAATGAAGGTGATCGTGTGGGGTGGGTAGCAGAGTTTGATCGAAAATCACTTTTGATTACATTTTTCTGTTGAAAGTTCGGCAAATAAACCATGAACCCAAAGCAAAAACCCATTTCATGTAAAAGCCTGACAAGAACAAGGATTGGTTTTACAACAAAAGAGCAAAAAATGGAATAAAGAGCTCACTTTCTCTTACTCTATTAGTAGCCCTTAATTCTACCTCTAGTTTGTTGTGCCCTATACATCAACATCGCATAAAAGATGTCTATGAAGTATAAACTCAATAGTCTTGCTCATTAAAGTTTATCCTATCTAGTTACTCAAATCATAAAGTACTCCTTCCATCCATATATACAGGGCCTAATGCGTTTTTCAAGACTACCTTTGACTATTGATAAGATTAATAGTATATGAGATGTATATTGTGAAAATTATATTATTGGAAGCTCCTTTCACTTATGAATTCGTCGATATGCTTTGTGTAACTTGCATGCCATATATTATTGCTCTAACATGTAGTCCAAGTTAGCCCTGAGAAACGTATTAGACCCTATATAGTACTCCCTCCGTTCGGAATTACTTGTCGCAGAAATGGATGTATCTAGATGTATTTTAGTTCTAGATATATCCATATCCGAGACAAGTAATTCCGAACGGAGGGAGTATATATGAATAGAGGGAGTGATGTTCTCATCTCGAAGCAAATAAAACCTAT